TTCGCTGTCTTGGATTTGCATAGAGAACTTGTAGAAGGATGTGTAAATAATGCCAAAAATTTTCCACCTTAAATTTATCAAGCACACGACCTCAAATCTCATCAAATTCCCACAATTGTTGAGCTTTGCGGCAGCTTCTATCATATATTATACAAGAAGTTAGTTGAAGCAGATGAGAAGGGAACCTTTTAAGGATGTAGAATATTGTTGGTGTAATTTAGCGAAGAAGTATCTACAACCATTTGTTTTCTTTCGTAGGAAGGACTTTGCTGATTTGCCATAATTAGTTGTTCAAGCATGCAGGAAGTAAATGGTAGTAACACTGACACTTTTCCCAACCAAAAAATCTAAAAGCAAATCACATAACTCCAAAAGTCTCTGCTTGGAAGGGGTTCACAATTCGGTTCTAGGTACTAAATATCCTCACGACATTTTCTTTGTATTGAAAGTTATATTTTAATCTCCTTTAGTGGTAGGTGCTGCATCCGCTTGGTTATTGTGATTGCCTTGTATCTGCCGCACCGCATTAACTTTTGATCAGCTTGTTCAAGACGATTCCACAAAAGGAACTGCCTTCCTACACCAAGAGCAAACAGACGTGCCAAAGGAGACAAATTCGTAAATCTCGTGCACACATATACACATCTTCTTATTAACAATTTCAGGCTTCGAATGACAACCTTATCACTTTCTTTTGTTCAAGTGCTGTGCAAAGTTTGGAAGTCATCCTCATCTCGCAGTAATAACTTGATTAGGAAGACGCAACGGTGAGATAGTAAAGTTTCGTGGCCTAAAATCAAACGACCGGTGACATAGGGTTCTTTGATTTTAAATTCAAACGTGAAAATAATTATTACCAGCTCATCTGCCTTTTGGGTCCAAAAGAGGTGGTAATCAGGGTTGTAATGTATCTGCCTGCAAAGACATTTGAAGGTGTAAGGCTGGTCAAGAACAAGGAGAAAATGACACGGTGGACATCAAAACCTTTAGCACCTACGCGTTCAAATCATGCACTCAAATTCACATTCGTACCCATTCCTCACCGTCTTAATGACAATTTTGATCAAAGTGATCTTATAATTAGGTCTTTGTTCTGCGAATTGTACCCCGGTATAAGAAATAATTTTTAAATACGCTGGAAATTCGTTAGGCTACACATTTTTTTATCCGCTTACTCGTTATGACGGCCAGTGAAGAAGAGTGGCAACAAGCTCCACCCAGGATGACACTCAAATCAAGAGGAGTTATTGGACTCGCATTCATAAATTTTTCCAATTGACTTGTAATATCATCTACCCATGTAAAAACCGAAAATCTCTTCTGCTCTTTGGCGTAGTTAATTGTGATTACTTGGTGAGACTTGCAGAGATTTCTTAATGTGAATTCTTCGTAGACATTCATAATGCAGCACATCCACGTTGGTCCATTGACGCGGCGCTCTTCATTTTGCTCTGGACTATTTTCCTCTATTTCGAGGCGCCACTAAAATTGTCTTTACAGCTGAAAAGTCCTAAGACTTGATTTCGCTGTCTTGGATTTGCATAGAGAACTTGTAGAAGGATGTGTAAATAATGCCAAAAATTTTCCACCTTAAATTTATCAAGCACACGACCTCAAATCTCATCAAATTCCCACAATTGTTGAGCTTTGCGGCAGCTTCTATCATATATTATACAAGAAGTTAGTTGAAGCAGATGAGAAGGGAACCTTTTAAGGATGTAGAATATTGTTGGTGTAATTTAGCGAAGAAGTATCTACAACCATTTGTTTTCTTTCGTAGGAAGGACTTTGCTGATTTGCCATAATTAGTTGTTCAAGCATGCAGGAAGTAAATGGTAGTAACACTGACACTTTTCCCAACCAAAAAATCTAAAAGCAAATCACATAACTCCAAAAGTCTCTGCTTGGAAGGGGTTCACAATTCGGTTCTAGGTACTAAATATCCTCACGACATTTTCTTTGTATTGAAAGTTATATTTTAATCTCCTTTAGTGGTAGGTGCTGCATCCGCTTGGTTATTGTGATTGCCTTGTATCTGCCGCACCGCATTAACTTTTGATCAGCTTGTTCAAGACGATTCCACAAAAGGAACTGCCTTCCTACACCAAGAGCAAACAGACGTGCCAAAGGAGACAAATTCGTAAATCTCGTGCACACATATACACATCTTCTTATTAACAATTTCAGGCTTCGAATGACAACCTTATCACTTTCTTTTGTTCAAGTGCTGTGCAAAGTTTGGAAGTCATCCTCATCTCGCAGTAATAACTTGATTAGGAAGACGCAACGGTGAGATAGTAAAGTTTCGTGGCCTAAAATCAAACGACCGGTGACATAGGGTTCTTTGATTTTAAATTCAAACGTGAAAATAATTATTACCAGCTCATCTGCCTTTTGGGTCCAAAAGAGGTGGTAATCAGGGTTGTAATGTATCTGCCTGCAAAGACATTTGAAGGTGTAAGGCTGGTCAAGAACAAGGAGAAAATGACACGGTGGACATCAAAACCTTTAGCACCTACGCGTTCAAATCATGCACTCAAATTCACATTCGTACCCATTCCTCACCGTCTTAATGACAATTTTGATCAAAGTGATCTTATAATTAGGTCTTTGTTCTGCGAATTGTACCCCGGTATAAGAAATAATTTTTAAATACGCTGGAAATTCGTTAGGCTACACATTTTTTTATCCGCTTACTCGTTATGACGGCCAGTGAAGAAGAGTGGCAACAAGCTCCACCCAGGATGACACTCAAATCAAGAGGAGTTATTGGACTCGCATTCATAAATTTTTCCAATTGACTTGTAATATCATCTACCCATGTAAAAACCGAAAATCTCTTCTGCTCTTTGGCGTAGTTAATTGTGATTACTTGGTGAGACTTGCAGAGATTTCTTAATGTGAATTCTTCGTAGACATTCATAATGCAGCACATCCACGTTGGTCCATTGACGCGGCGCTCTTCATTTTGCTCTGGACTATTTTCCTCTATTTCGAGGCGCCACTAAAATTGTCTTTACAGCTGAAAAGTCCTAAGACTTGATTTGAAAGTCGTAGCACGGAGAGAGGGATTGTCAAAGCCGGATACTCCAGAAAGTAGATCAGCTAGTGCCTTTACTCACAAACTGATCACAGGACGACTCAGTGGCTATTAACCTGCTCCCAAATGCAACGGCACTCTGAATCAATTTCTGGCGGTTCACTTTAAAAAAAACTCATTTATTCGTAAACACCTGAGAAAAAGACATTGGCTATCGTCCTTAGAGGATCAAATCCTAAGTCGCGTACTGCTTCATGTCTTTAGAGAATGCACCTCCTTTGTGTCAGTATGCATAAATGCAATGAACCGTAAATACGATTGTTGGCCATAAATCCTTTACTTGATGATGGCTAAACGATAGATGTGCATGAAATCTAGCCACTCAGGCAGATAATTTTTAAATGAATCCAAGAAAAATTTTATTTATGGAGCACCAGAACTAGCCAACTGTTTGAACAATCGCCTTATTCTTATTCTGATAGGATAACACAATAAACTATTCTGAAGCCTACCAATGAGAGACCTAAAGGTGTCAAAACCTTTCTTGAAATTTGCATACCGTTCACATCTCTGAAATGAAGGCTGTCGGTTTTATCATTTGACAAACGCGGAAGACGCAGACGATTGTTAAATCTGAAGAGGAGGCAGGATCACGAGTGACTAGGGCTTGACTGTCTGCAATGAGAGACCAATCGCCTTATAAACGCGCAACACTTAGCTGGTCAAATGCACTTTTGTAAGGTAACATTATTTTACAAAATAATAAGTAAACTATTTGGCATGCATTTATCTCAGTCATCCAGTAGCACCACATTTGCTTTTGCACTTCTTGACAGACTGTGTTACAAATGGGATGGTAAGGAATAAACTCTAACCCATTTATGGGAGGAAAAAGCAAATTTAGGTAAATAATGGTGCTAATATACTTCTTGGAGAGTAATAACAATTATTTTCATGATATTTAGACGCGCATAAAGTTAAAATCGTTCTAAACAAATCGGAAGATTGTATTTCTCTCATAAGTTAGTGAAACTTCTAAATGTCAAAACAGAAATATTTATCAACTTACATGGCCTTCCGTACAGAGTTACTTTGTGTTATTGTTTTAACTACTTATCGTCATGATAAAAGTCCAAATCTCCTATAGTCAGAATGGTTAATATGTAAAACTTTAATTGCTTTCTTCCTTCTTCGATTAGCTATCAAGGGCACTTGCGGCTCTGACTTTACTTCTGCTGTGCGGTATGGCCTCTGGCCCATGCCGGTTGTTCATCAACCCTTCTGTCCGACAGCAATCTATTCTCCATCTTTCTTTCATTTTTAAGAAAGACTTGAGGTGAAATGAGTGGAAGAAAGAACCTACGAATTGAAAACTGTCCTATATTTAAGGGAAATTTTTTACGCATTTCATGGCTTTTTCACAAGGGCAGGCCATCACTCCTGTAATACACGTTTGTTTGAAAGAACTATTTCGGTGAAAAGTGGGCAGACTTGACCACAAAGTAAAAAAAAACTTATTCCCTACAAAACTTGCCGTGCTTGTTATACTCCGCAGGATTTTTTTACCTAACCAATATTCTCGACTTAAGGATATAAAGCTGATGGTGGAAGGGCAAATGATTGAAAAGATGATACAATTGTGCCCCGATGCATGCATTGCTATGCATCTAGAATGGGCATCAAGATACTATTCGTATTAGCAAGTACTGAAATGGG